TATCAATTTCTGAATCCCTTAATCCCCTTCTAAAGCCAAAGTTCCAATCAAAACTATTGATTGAGTTTAAAGGGACTAAGAAAGTTGAAATGGGCTCACTCTTGAAACATGATAAAGAATACAAAGAGGGGTATAAGTCTTTCAAAGGGGAGTTCCCATACCAGATTTGATCCCAGAATTTGATTAAGTTGCCAGAATTGAGTCCATACCTTACAAGAGGCAAGAACCAAGGTCAAATTGCTTGTATGGCCTTCCAAGGTGAAGCTCTGGTAGCCCGTTGCAGTGATCCAGCGTCTCATCCATTGTCCAATAGCCCGTGTATGCTCACCACCACCCTTGCCCATAGTTTCTTTCTCTTGGCAATCTCCATAGCCAGTTCCCTAGTAGAGATAAATTTCTTTTTTGCATATTTCCTATTCCAAGACTCCCATACTTTTTATCTCTACTATCTCCCAGCACACCTTGTGATCTCTTTTCTCTTCTCCTGGCTCCCATAAGAAGTCCTTTATTAATTTCTCAATGTCCTTGCTTACTCCCACCGGCATTTTGAAGACTGACATATAGTACACAGGGAGGTTTGCTAGGGTCGACTTTATTAGGGTTATCCTACCTCCTAGGGAAATGTAGCCCTTTTCCCAACATGTCAGTTTCTTTGTCACCTTTTCTACAACTGGATTCCAAAAGCTTGACTCCTTCAGGTTGGCTCCTAAGGGTAAACCTAGGTAGCTTAAAGGCCATTGAGAACTAAAATTATATTTTTTTCTGCTAGAGTAGTCTTTATGCATTGTCTAGCTGTTTGTTATAGCTCATATGCATCTCTGATGTATGCAGTGTTTTGTCACACGATATAATACATAGTTGACTTTTGATCAAAATACTGAAAATGATAAAAAGTACATGGTTATTAGCTAGTTGTTTTATGTCCAAGATGGTTCTAGTTCAAGTTTTGACACCATAAGCTTCCTTTTAGCATTAAATTAGAGTCGTCCATGCCTAATAGGCTAACAAAAAAATAAAAACGAAAACTAGTAGGACTGGATAAAGTAGATCGATTCAGGTTGAGTATCTTCTTTTACCAGGTTTCCCTACCTTTTCTTTCGAAACAAACACAGCCTTAGGGGATCAGGCAATAAGGTTAAGACACTGTAGCGGATGACTCAGACCCATATAGATTGTATTGAGCTTTATATAGAAGTAGAAACTATAACACAACACAACATAACGCAAATAGGAGTTCAAGTAACGAACCATCCTCGTTCATTCTCTCCATCTCTTCTGAATGGAAACGTTTGAGTATGTCCATCATCTTCCGTTTTGTTGCCTCATCAGATTGCATTTGCCGAAGCTCCTCCATAACATTTTCTCTCATGAAAGACTCCGTGCAACGAAGACTATGTGTCTGGTGGAAATAATCAACGAAAGTAATAATTAAATATTATGTCTTGCACCGTTGATAATAATACTCAGTTGTCCACTAGATATATTTGTATATTGCTTATGGACAATTGATATAATTTCTTGTCATTCTAACTGCATGGCAACATCCAAACACATCTATCCCTATCCATGCAATAAATTCAGAGTATTATCCAAGTACAGGACTACAATGAATGCAAGAACAGATACAAGGAACAACTACCACACCCAACTTCTATTTGGCCAAAAAATAGGTTAATGGATCCTTTTGGAAAATGTCCTCAACCATAAATCCAATTCTAACCAGTTGTATAAAACCAGATTCCTAAAGGGTAATTCTTAATCATTTGGCATTGTCCATTTGGTAGCAGCAGATTCATACCCACGGAAATAGATGGGTAGTTCAATCAAAGCAGCCCATGCCTAACAGGAAATGGGCCTCAAATTGTATTTTAACTAAAATGAGGTAAGTTGTTTCATCCATGGAAAAGTAAACTGCACCCAAAAGCGCTTGGTAATTGTTACAGAATAGGAAGTAAATACTAGGGAGATATGATGTTACAGACTGTATAAYTAAAATAGGAAGTAAATACTAGGGAGATATGATTTACCTTGATTGTAGGACTGATTTGTAGGAGATATGATTTACCTTGATTATAGGACTGATTTGTAGGAGATATGATTTATACCTTGATTGTAGGACTGATTTGTAGGAATTTAATTAGTCTTCTTTCCTAACAGAGAATTTGTAACTTGTATATATACATACGAGATTGATTGAATACATATAACAAATTCTTCTTCTTCCTCTGTTTACTCTTGTTTTGCATGGTATCAGAGCATCTAATCTCTACCTGCCCTTTCGTTTTTTTTTCCCAAGTAAACAGTAGGTAGAGGAAAATTTTTGGGTGTTTCGGGTCACCTCCTTGGAGCAGTTTTTTTTTACTCTAACCGCCCATCCAGGAAGAAGCGTCGCCCGCCGATCGGAGGTTCTGCAAAGTCCAGCAGTCAGCAGCCCTGCGCGTGTGTTTCACGCGCCGCCTGAAGATTCTGCCACAGTCACACGCGTCGGCGCGTGGAGGCGCGTCTATCGCCGGAAAATTTTTTGGTCGTTGTCTTTTGGCTCGCCTCGTCCTGTATAGCACATATTTGTGCTTTGTTACGTGCATATCCATTCCAGTGTTTTCAACAGGTGTGCTCCGTTGATTTTCGGTGTTCAAAATATTCTGTTTATTTGAACTTTGAGATTATGGCAAACAAGAAATCAGTAGTTATGTTGGATGTTGTTCTAATGATGTCAAAAATAACTAAGCATAAGCTTAATGGCTCTAATTATCTGGATTGGAGTAAAACTGTTCAACTATATTTGCTGAGTATTGCTATGGATAACCATTTGACTAATGACCCTCCTAATGATGACTCGAGAAAGTCTTGGTTGAGGGAGGATGCTCGTTTGTTCTTGCAGATACGCAACTCCATTGAAAGTGAGGTGGTTGGTTTACTCACTCACTGTGGAATTGTTAAGGAATTAATG